ACTCACACATTGCTAGTAGGAATGCAAAACGGCATAGCTAAGGAATAAAGTTTGGCAGTTCCTCAAATGTTAAATATAAAACTACCATATGGGGCTGGCCAAGTGACTCAGTTGGTTAAAAGCACAAGCTCTGAGTAACAGGGCCGCCGGTTTGAATCCCACATGGGCCAGTGAGTTGCGCTTAAGCTGAGCTGCCGCTGAGCTGCCAACAGGTGGCAGGATGGCGCAGCTGGTGAGAGCACGTGCTCCTAACAACAAGCTTGCCGGTTCGACTCCCACATGGGATGGTGGCTACACCCACCGGTGACTAAGATTGAACATGGCACCTTAAGCTGAGCAGCTGCAAGCTGCCAATAGACGGCTGGATGGCGACTGGACTTGGAGCTGAGCTAGCTGCACACTCCACAACTAAGATTGAAGGACAACAACTTCGCTGTTCCCCTTCCCCAATTCCCTAATAAAATCTTTAAAAAAACAAAACAAAACAAAACCTACCATATGACCCAGTAATTCAACTTCTAGGTATGTACTCTCAGCAGTATGAATAGATTTGAGGACTATACTATGGGGTAGAACAACATCCAAGTTTCAGATAGCCACTGTGTGTTACACATGAGACAAAATCAAATAGCATTTCAAAGACTTTGAAAACTAAACTGACACGGGAACCACAACCCTCAGAATACGAGTATAGTTAGAACTTGCAGCTTGAACCCAAGTTGGTTGATTATATGATAAAAATATCAACATTCCCCATAGGATTTAAAGACACAGAGTCTCAAAGTATAATATTAAAGTGTCCGAAAACAATTCAATGTTACAGGTGGTCCCCAGCTTACAATTTTATGATGATGTGAAGTGATACTCATAATAAATTATATGAGATAGTCAACACTAGTATGAAATAGGCTTTGTGTTAGATGATTTTTACCCAACTGTAGGCTAATGTAAGTGTTCTGAGCCCATTTAAGGTAGTCTAGGGTATGCTATGGTGTTTGGCAGGTTAAGTGTATTAAACGCATTTCCAACTTAAAATATTTTCAACTTACAAATGGTTTATCAGGATGTAACCCCATGGTAAATTGAGGAGCATTTGTTTTTGGCATATGAAGAACCAGGAAAATCTCAACTCACATTTAAATAATACATCAACAGATGTCAACTCTGAGATGACAAAAAGGTTGGAATTATCTGACAAAGACTTTA